ATGAAACTTATCCACATTCAAGTGTTTAAAAAAATAATGTATGAAGCTAGAATAAATGTTTTTTGTTTACAAGCAGATACCCTGTTCTTTCTTTTGATGTTTTGTATGTTCAGATATTCATGTAACAAAATATATACAAATTAATACCTAAATAGGGACATAGTAGTATACTTGAAATATGATGTAAAGTTCACTTAAAGAAAACTTACGAGTATACTTGCAGTATAAAACTACTAAACTAGTAGTTTACTGAGACTATACTTCAAAGTGTACTAAAAATGCTACTACAAGTATTTAATTAGTAAACTATCAGTGTACCTATAAGTTCACTTTTAGTATAGTTGCAGTACAAGCTAAAAATATTGATGTAAACTAGTTGTGTACTCAAAGTTTACTACTGTTATACTTAAAGTATACTTAAAAGTATACTTTTATATACTAGAAAGTGGGCCAATTTAGTCCCAAGGAGTATTGAAATAGTACACTTACAAGTATACTACTAGTACACTGATATTTGTATACTTACAACATAAAGTATACTTAAAATATACTTGAACTTTACTTAAGTATACTTACTAAAATAAACTTGAAGTATACTACTTTTTGGTAAGGGAAGTACTGCATATCATTTCTTTTTTTTTTGTATGTGGGCTAACTGGGCTTTATAAGTGTTATTTACTATTTTATTATGGTTAGTTAATTCTGGGCTTAATCTGCATACAGTTCGCAATACTGTATACACATTCTCCACAAGATGACAGCATCACGCTATACATGTGTCTTTATGCATTCTTTTATTTTAAAGCCAAAGGTGAAATTGTGTAATTATTTCTCTGAGACAGTAGGGGGCGAGAAACGCTACATTTTCTTCTGGTTTAGGCCTTTTTTTCAAGTTTAGAAGTTTCTAGAATGAGTAGGCCTCAATGACTCATATCTTTTTTTTTTCTCAAGGGCAGTGGCATGCGGTCTAAAAATAATTCCCATACAGAAAATAAAATGGTTCCGACACTGAACAAAATGGCTTTTTTGGATAGTCAAGAGAAAATTTTGTGCAGGATTGTATGCCAGGACTGTTGTAAAGCAAAACAGTGACGTCCACTTTTTCAGTGGCCATGGATCAAGAAGTAGCTTTCCCATTCTCAAGAAAAAAATACAAATTCTGATATGAAGATTTCTGAACCATGAGCCAAACCCAACCAACTCTGAGATGTTTGAGACTGATTCAATAACGTCATTTGTAATGCTTCATGGAAGTAGATGCAGTCATTTTGCAGTGCTTCATGAAAGTGCTACTTCTAAAGGCCTACTGTTGCACTATTGTGGCACAAAATAATACGATCTCAGACCAAAACAGTAAGCTATTTTCATCAATCCTTCCTAATGTTTACCATCATAAAGATTGCTTAACATGCAATGATATCATTGCATCATTAAGCACCATGTATTTATTTATTTTTAGAATTATGACCGATTTAATGTTTGAATTGCACTTGGTATTATATGTCTTTTTCCAAAAGGACAGTATTGCATCCATGACTTCAGTTTGGCATACATTTTTCCATTGAGGTCACAAACATAGTGAAAGGTATATGAGATGTTGCATGAGAGAATAAGGAGCATAAATGACTTCTAGGCTTAGATTACTATTTATAAATGTCATGCAATGAATAAAAACCATGTAAAAGTATTAGGTTGCACTGTCAGTTAACTGAAATAAGTTGAGCTATATTAAAACTGAAATCAAAATAGAAATATATACCATACAGATACAAATAAAAATATAAAATACAAAAATAAAAGCTAATTCAGAATATTAATAAATACTATAACTGACACTGGAGTGTTAAAAAGTTATAAGAAGTTATGTTAGTAGTTAGTATAATACAGCGTTAGTATATGAAAAAACGTAAATGCACAAATACTAACATGACACCAATAAACATTCACATTCTTATACTGAAATAAACGACATACAAAGTCAGAAAAATAGCGAGTCATTGCAGGATGTGATGCATGGCAATCAAAAATTAAACATGTTTTATTGAGCCAATGATGTGAGAGAATATGCGCATACATTAGTACGTCGTCCAATAGCTCGTTAGGGGGGCGTGTGCGAGCGCGTTTGCTCGGTGTTCTTCACTGAAAAAGCTCGTCTATCAGTAGGTGCGCAAAGTGAGGGAATTGACTGTGCCGTAGCTTCTAGAACTACAAGTTGTCTTCTAGTATTATTAAAAAATAAAGACATTAAACTGAATTAGCTCGAAAGGATTGAGATGTTACAGTTAAGGGCTTCAATTGTGCTGAAGGAGTTGGTTCAAACCAGCCCAAAGCGTTCGTTTTCTGACATTATAAGGCATAAGAAAACTTTACCAAACGCGTACACCTACAGCGCTGCTTATCCAGATGGCAGAATATCTAAATTAAAGACTGTCTGTAATGGAAGACCTTTCATTCTGCCTTTAGCTGGGAGAAGATTCCTGTGTACAAAGACCGAAGGAGCGATTGACCCTACAGCACCGGTGAAGAAAGATGAGTCCGTCCAGGAAACGACGGCAGAGAAGTACGAAATGTATTTATTTGTCATTTGGTCATGACGCATGAGATATTCAGTGTTATTGATCGGAAGTATATAGCATGTGTTTAGCACACGCGCCAAATATCCTTGAATGGCTGACAACGTGGCGATGTGTGTACACTTTTACAGCAAGTGAGTGGAGAACGTGTAGTAGTAGTATACTTCATGTTAGAAATAGAATAACATGCTATCAGTTTGATAGGTTCAGGTCAAGTATATAGTGTTTATTTCTGGTAATGGACAGACCCAATTAGTCTTTTCAGATGAGTGAATGGTCTCCTTCACTTCCATGCACTGACTAGTATTTTCCGTTCACTCAAGTGTCCTCTTTTTGAAGCGCGTGACTCCTGTTCTGTCATTAAAAACCAACTGTACATCACGAGCCAATAGTATTCGAGTGTTGGCTGTTAGGGAGCATTTCATTGGTTGAGCTTACTGAAGTGATACGCCCCCTTCAAAATGAACTAAGCATATCGTTCGTGAGTGAGGTAATCGAACGAAGCATCTCGGTTCTGAATTTCGTCAACCAACTGAATGAACTGGAGCATTTAATATGTCAAAGAAAATTAATAAATTGGAACAACTCGTTCATGATCCATATTAAAGGGGTCATATGATGCGATTTCAAGTTTTCCTTTCTCTTTGGAGTGTTACAAGCTCTTGGTGCATAAAGAAGATCTGTAAAGTTGCAAAGACTAAAGTCTCAAATCCAAAGAGATATTCTTTATAAAAGTTAAGAGTCAACCACGCCTACCTAAAACGACTCGTTCTAACACGACCACATGTCTGACCACATGTCTACGTCACCATGTGGGAAGATCTGCATAACGCCGCCCAAATGTTCATGCAAAGAAAGAAGGCGAAACTTTGATTCTGGCTGTTGCTGCCGCTGCCATGTTGTGGAGACGCTGTGTGTTTAGTTATGAAAGCGAAACTACTTTGTTTGGCCTTCCAAAAGAGGACACAACTAGAAATCAGT